TGTAAGCCATTCATCTCCTTCAGTGATATGAATCTTATGAAACACAGTGACAATATCTAGTTTTATAAATCATTGAGCTCACTGATCTGTGCTAGAGTTTCATTGATAAGAGATAAGAGATATCAATCTTTCTTTGTCAATCTGTTTAGACCTTGATAGTTCACGCAGAATTGAAGTCCTTCATCTGGTTTCTTTGCAAAGAGAATAGAGACTGCAGTGGAAGAGTTGCTAATATGTATAAATTCTTTATTCAACAGATCATTGAGTGTCTTTCAAAGAAGAAGGAGTTTGTCTTGAAACATGCTATAAAGAGAGTCTCATGGCAGTTCAGAGTTCTTATCATTCTTTTTCTCTAACTTGATACTGTGATTCACTTCAGAACCTCATAAGAAGGGTATATTCATAATATTATCTTGTTGAAAGACATCTAGATATTCATGATATTGTTGAGAGAGTTTCATATGAGAATCTGTTATTGTAACACAGAATAACTTTTCTAGGGTCTTTTTGATATCAGCCAGACTGGTGGAATAGATTGACACATGATCTTGCTGTCAGTGACTCTGTCAGTGGTTTTGATGATGACTTCTTTTTCAGAGTATTTCATACACATTGGCAGAGATCTGTGTCAGGTCCATGATCTTGTGAATATCATTTTTGTGAACTCTATCATTGTTAGAGAATATCAAGCTTCTGTTTCAAGCATTCAACAAGATGCCTTGTTCAGATAGTCAGGCAAGTCCTAACATAAAATTATAATCAAGATTATCAACTTCATACATGTAGGCATCTTCATGTTGATATCCTTCTATATCTATGATCAGCTTCATCATGTAACAGATACAAATGTCTTTTGAATCATCAAATCCTGTGAGGAGTTGGGGTTTTGATAGAGGGATATGCTGAAGGTTATGATGTCTTATAACTGAAGATTTTATCATTGCATAGTGACATAGACCACTGTCTACTATGGCCTTCATATTATACATGTTATTAACCACAGTGAATACAAGAATCACATTCATTGCTATCTTCTCTTCAAATCATTGTCATCTGACCTCTTCAAGCTCCTGTTTGCGAATTTGAACAGAAGCTAATCTTTTCTCTGTTTCACTGGGGCATTCTCATAGTTATTCTCTGAATCTTTCTCTAATGCAACATGGTTGGCGCGGACAGGCGCTGATCCATTCTTCAAACAAGGAGACACAAAGGTTGATTGACAGTTAGAAGCAATGTGTCCTGGTCAGTTACAGTTGATACACACTCTACATTGATGTCAATCAGTGACTTCTTCAGAAGTGATCTCAGGGACTCAGAAGCCTGTTCAGACAGCAGAGACCCTTGCTTGTGTGTAGACATTTAAGTCTACTCAATCCATGGCATCTGCATCATTGTTATTCCTCAGCGCGGGTGTATGAGTTGCTGAGGTGTAACATCTTCTGCCACTGTTCTGTATATTCTTGAGCTTGGTAAGATGATCATTCATTGTCCGGAGCTGTGTGCAGAAGCCTTTATAAGTTGAGTCTTCATCTGCACTTACAAGGGCCTGTAAGAGTTTGAAAGTCAATGTCTTCTTGAGCATGCTAATCTTCATTCAATTCTCTCAAGACTGATCACCTGCTTCTAGAATCTTGATGTTGAAGTCAGGAATGAATGTTGTAAGAGAAGTGTTCCTCTGTCAGACACTCTGTAACCAATCTAATGCTTTCTGTTGCATGGCAGTGTCTCAGAACAGAATATCAAGATATTTCATGATGTTGTCAGGTGTTCACAATGCTGGTTTGCATGCTTTCATCCATGAATGAAACTTCTGTTTCGCGTGATCCTTCAATCATCCATTGATATACCAACCTTGATTGGTTAATGAACCAATGGAATCTCCATCTACACTCAGTTTCATGAGCATTTCCATCCTTCATGATGAGTAGAGAGTGAGATCAGAAGCATCAAAATATGCAGGAGTATCTAAGCATTCTTTCAGTGCTTTTGTATTCAATTCTGTAGATGTTGGAATTGCATGAGTTCCTTGTTGTGATAATCATTGAATCTCTTCATATTGGCATTGTTGAGTTGCATGCATATCAGCTATTTATTGTTATTGTAGTTTCAACATTGCTCAGAGTCACTGTGGCACTGCATCTATGTTCATGTTCAAGGGTTTCATATTATCATTAGACATGATTATATCAATTGTCAGATATATGATATCTGTGGGATCTGAAGAAGTGTAATCATATTTTTATATGTCTGAGTGTCAGGACTCTCAGGTCTTTCACTGACATTCTCTTGTAAGATCTTATTCTCTTCATAAGATCTTGTTACAGGGCCAGGGCAACTGATAAGCAAGCTTCTATCTGAGGACTATCTGGAGACTCAGTGTCCGCTTAACTGTTCAACTGTTTCTCTATTTCTTATGTGTTGTTACATGTTCAGATATCTCTTGATAAATAATCATTCCTAATAAGGAGATGATGAACATTTTTATAGTGTAAGAGGCCTACACTGAATAGATTGGTATAATATTGATAGGTCTTATATAACAAAGATAAAAATGTTAGAGAAGGAAAGAAAGAGAAAGTGTGAGAATCAGTGATTGAGATGAATATTTATACGCGTATGTGGTGATGTATGTGATGAAGCTTCAGGGCGGAAGAATATACGCGCGTTCATAGCGGCTGAGGATTGGTGATTGGGAATGGCTGAGAATCGGAGTGTATGCTACGCGCGTTCGTAGCGGCCGCGGATCGGTGATCAGGAGTGGCCGAGAATCGGAGCGTATGCTACGCGCGTTCGTAGCGGCCGCGGATCGGCGATCGGGAATGGAAGAATCTGTGGAGTGTAATGGAATAGTCTATATGATTGATCGGGCGCAGCCCGCCACAAGATAGATCTTAAGAACAGATCAGTGAGATCTCTTATAATCATTCTCTAGATAGTTCAGTCAGTTCTTGACTTCAGTGTAATAGAGATCTGTCATTATATAGATAACAGCTTCTTCATCTTTCATATCATACAGTCAGGCTTGTGAGTTAATTTCAAATACAAACTTGTAAAAGCTTTTATAAATTGTGATTCAATAAGTGATCTTAAGTAGTTGCAGCTTAAGAAAGTTTCTTTTTGATTCATGAGTATCTCTGAAGATCATGTCTAGAGACTCAGTTCAAGAGTGTTTGTAAACAGTAAGCATTTCTTATAGAAAAATAGCTTAGTTCTGTGAGAGATGCTCAAGAATGTTCTCTACTAAGATTGATTTATTTGTGAGTTCAGAGAGTTTCTCTGTCACAGATGCAGAGAATGATGTTCTGTGAGTAATTGATAAGTTCTCTGAGACTTCTTTCATGAGAATTATTCATGATTTGAGTGACTGCTTCTAAGTGTCTGTAGTAGAGTTCACAGGGATTGAAGTATGTGAGTTTTTAGTTCTTTCAGTCATAATAAGCAGTTGCTGACTGACTGAGCTTGAAATGTAAGAATAAGTGCTCACAGATGATTATTCAGATGTTTACAGCTTGACATGATATGTACTGTTAACTACTAGAAGTATTCACAGTAGAAAGATAAAATGTAGAGATTAAATGTATAATAGCATTCAAGCTGAGTTATAAATAGTATTCATGAACTTCAGTCTATATAGTTGTGTGTAGTCAAGGACTGCTAGCTCTATTGATTACACAAGAGATTGAAATAGGGATAAAGAATCTGTGAGGAGCGGGATTTCTTACACTATCATAGCTTTCATATTATACATATTATTAATTACAGTAGATACAAGAATTACATTTATTATTATTTTCTCTTTAAATTATTATTATCTGATCTCTTCAAGCTTCTGTTTATGAATTTAAACAGAAGCTAATCTTTTCTCTATTTCATCAGAGCATTCTTATAGTTATTCTCTGAATCTTCTTTCAATGCAATGTGATTGATACGGACAGATATTGATTCATTCTTTAAGTGAGAAGACATGTAGGCTGATCAGCAGTTGAAAGTAATATACTCTGATTGATTACAGTTGATACACACTTTACATTGATATTGATCAACAACTTCTTCAGAAGTGATTTCAGAAACTCAGAAGCCTGTTTAAATGACAGAGACTCTTGCTTATGTGTAGACATTTGAGTCTACTCAATTCATGATATCTATATCATTGCTCTTACTCCTCTTCAGCACAGATGTATGAGTGACTGAGTTATTTCTCAGTGCAGATGTGTAAGTGTAATATCTTCTATCACTGTTCTGTATACTCTTGAGCTTGATAAGACAGTTATTCAATGTTTGAAGCTGTGTGCAGAAATCTTCATAAGTCTGGTCTTTATCTACACTTACAAGAGTCTGTAAGAGTTCAAAAGTTAATATCTTCTTAAGCATGCTAATCTTCATTCAATTCTCTCAAGATTGATTATCTGTTTCTATGTAAGAATAAGTGCTCACAGACAGTTATTCAGGTGTTTGCAGCTTGGCGTGATATGTACTGTTAACTACTAGAAGTATTCATGATAGAAAGATAAAATATAGAGATCAAATATATAATAGCATTCAAGCTGAGTTGTCAATAGTACTCACGAACTCCACTCTATATAGTTGTGTGTAGCCAAGGGCCGCTAACTCTATTGATTATATGAGAGATAGAAATAGAGGTAAAGAATCCGCAAGGAGCGGGATTTCTTACATTCTAGAATCTTGATATTGAAGTCAGAAATGAATGTTGTAAGAGAAGTGTTCTTCTATCAGATACTTTGTAATCAATCTAACACTTTCTATTACATGACAGTATCTCAGAACAAAATGCCAAGATATTTGATAATATTATCAGATATTCACAGTACTGGTTCAAATGCTTTCATTCATAAATAAAACTTCTGTTTCACATAATTCTTTAATTATTCATTGATATATCAATCTTGATTGATTAATGATCTGATGACATCTTCATCTAGACTGACCATGTGACTGTGTCTGAGACCAGAACCAGATTTTTTGATAGTCTCATTATCAATTCAACTGATCTCCAAATCTTTTTGATTCAACCGCTCCACCACGAACTCGCTCGATTTTTCGAATAAGAACCCGCCGATAGATCCATCGAAAAGCCCTCGATCATACGAGCATTTTGACCCCATCGCCGACCGCATACCCCGTGTGGTGGTGGAGTTATCCAGCCAAACGTGAACCAGACGTCGTTCGGAACTCCTGCGTGGGATTATCCCCCATTCTCCCCTACCACACCACAACCCCGGGCCAAATTGCCATACAAATTGTAAGGTGAAGAGACCTAGCCATATGCACCAATCTTCTTGATTTTGGAAGATCCCCGATCTGTAGTTGTGGAGATATCTGAGGAGCGACCTCCGCGAAAACCCTGTCCATCTTTGATGTTCCAAAACACCAACGCCAAGTCCCACCCTCGTACCGCCCTTCCTAATCTGGCCCATCCCCGGCAGAAAAATACAAAAAGATACCTCGGCGATAATATCAAGCACATAACCAACAGCCACTTCTGAAGTGCAACCTCCGCGGTCTGTCTTCAGTGTATCTAGACATCAACACCGAGTCTCACCCTCGTACCACCTCTCTCAATCTGGCCCATCCCCGACAGAAAAGTACAAAAAGATACCTCGGCGATAATATCAAGTACATAACCAACAGCCACTTCTGAAGTGCAACCTCCGCGGTCTGTCTTCAGTGTATCTAGACATCAACGCCGAGTCTCACCCTCGTACCACCCCTCTCAATCTGGCCCATCCGCGACAGAAAAGTACAAAAAGATACCTCAGCAACTGTGCTCGATACATAATCAGCAGACACGACAACTATAAAATCAGTATACCCCAAGGTCTGACTGAGCCTTTGATCCCTGCACAGTGAGATATATTAAATCTAGTTTTAATACCTCAATATTCAATAGACTCTGCAAGGGATTGAGAACAGCAACACTAGGTTTCTATTGAATTTGAGAATTAACTCTATATTGATATAATCATTGACAAAGTCTTCTATTTTGAGATATAAATAACCAGTTCCTCTACATCCCGCTGGCAATATTTACATTATCATATAGAAACAGACTTATATTCTCTATAATATCAAGACTCTGAAGAGGGAAAGTCTTGATAGAGACTATACAGTAGTGTATATCTTAGCAGTTTCTATCTCATTCTTCTGCAGCAGTTAATGCAAAAAAAAAAAAAAGATCTTAGAAATAGTTTTTTACTTCTCTTGAAAAAGTAAGGTGTTTTTCTCTGGGTTTTACACAATATTCTTATAAAGAATTAAAAACAGAGTTGTTTTCTGTCATAATTTCATATTCTTTTAAGTAAGAATTACTTTTTCAGTGACTGAAGAGCTTTCATTAATACTTAATTCTTTTTTACACTCTTTATTAACTGATTTGAGATGCACACTTGTTGTGTGAGAAGAATTGGATAATTTAGAATAAAATTGAATAGTTTTAATCAATTTCTCTGCAAAAAATTGATTTATTTGTGATTTGAAAGAATGTACGACCGTCGGATAATAACGCGGCTGCTTCCGAACTACTAGCGTACGCGGCCGCTTCCGAACTACTAGCGTACGCGTACGAGTGTAAAGGGGCCATAGCAGCCACTAATTAAATTAGTGTACAATATTACAATATATAAGAAGCTGGCATACACCTGTAATCATACACTGACTTAAGCAATCTTTGAATCACATCTGATAGCATGTCTAAAAACTGGTGAGAAGTGCAGACTTCTTCAGAGTGTGATAATTTCATCTACAAAGTAATTTGTAGTTATCATATCAGTGTGATTCTAGAACATCTCAAAAGATAGTGTATGAAGAACAGTGAGTGAAAAAGTATTCAATTAATACTGCTTTGCTTATTGAGAGAAAACTTCATATTCAGATGAATACTATGTATATGAACAGATGAGATGTGAGAAAAGAAATGAGAGCAGTGAATCAGATTCAAAGAAGACTGCTCTTCACTTAAAGAGATAAAAGAAAGAGATGACTATCACTGAAGTTGAATAATGATAACAGAAATCATATAACAATATAGTGATATAATGATATAGTGATAGAATAATATACTGATATAACAACACAGTGATATAATAATAGACATTGTATAATCAATGAGAAATCACTGAAATGAATATCTTCTCTAACTGATATGAATAACACTCTTCTCTGCTATCTGAACTGAAAGATATATAGAACCTCTTAGAGAATTTACTTAAAGTAGTAAGAAAAGCAGCTGAAACTGCTGAACTGAAATCAAAGCTCTGTATATGTACAAGGATTCTAAACAAGATTAAGGTCTTGTGTATGCAGTGACAGGCTGAGACAGAAGTCAAACAACAATTGACATTCACTGTGAATCAGGCATTCACTATGAAGAGCTTCACTGATGCAATCATCATCATCAATAAGAATAGAGAAAACCAGATCTTAGATCTGTAGTAAGAGATTGAATATTTACACAGACAGATAACTACACTGAACCTGAAGATTTCATCACAATCATTCACAATCTCTTCAGAAGTGTACACATCATCAGAGACTGCTGCATAGAATGAGAATCTGAGTATGAGATACATCAAGCTGAGAGATCTGCTGAAGTCACTAAGCTTTAATAGTGACTGAAAAAATGATGCTGCAATCAGCTGGCTAAGTCAGATACAATCATATTATTGAATTGAATGTGAACTCACAGACAGGCAGCTAACAGAATTTTAACAAGTCTTAAGATCTGTCATGTTTCTACATGAAAAAGTGAAGTCATTATAAATGACTTATGAAAAGATGAATCTCACAGATCTGAAGTAATATTCATTCTTATAAACATGAAATAAGTTTTTCAAATGAATCTTGCACAACTTTGAGAAAGTGAACATGTGAGACAAGTATTATGAATACTTCACTGAGTGTAGATAAGTGAGTGATATTACATTGTACTTTACACACTTCAGTTTATACTATCTCACATTGAATAAAGAGCTTTTAATATCTTTCTGTTTACAGATCTTCATTCATGATCTTATATCTGAGTTAAGAGTGAAATGAAAATGCTTAACCTTGTAATCAGACACAGTGAAAGAAGCATATAACATTCTCATTGTATAAGAATAAGTAAGTCAATTATGACAGAAAATACTGCAATTGAGTATGTCTCAGTGAAGAACAGATAATCAGACTTCTATAATATAAGTTATACATCTGAATGTGATGAATCTAGATCTGAATGTTATCACTAAAGTGCTGAATTCTCTGAAAAAGAGATTCTCTGAATGAAAATCTTGATATTATGAGCATTGAGCTTGCTTCAACTGTGAATATCAAAATCATGATATAAAAGATTGCATCCAGTGTGCACAGTCAAGAGAAGTAAGAGAGTTAAAAAACTAGCAGAATCAGTGAGCTCAGAGACACTCACTGATATTCTATGAAAAGTCTTCAAAGTGAAAGAGATGTCTGTATTAGATGACTCTCTGAATTCTGTGAATGTAAAGAGAAAGCAGACTTCTGACTGAGATGTGAGTGAGGAAGTGAACACTCATCTCAATGTCTTGAGACTCAAAATGTTAATGTATAAGAGGCACTTAAGTAAGAATTGAGAGATGGCTATAAAAGTGTTAGTGAATACAGAAGCTTTGACACAATATATTGATAATTATATAATCTGAAGATTGAAAGAGATCTGCTGAGTGAAGAATTCTCAATATATAAGATTATCTGATAACTGATATTTGATATTATCTATAAAAGTAAGAGTTCTCTTGCACTTCAGAGAATGATCTTGCTATATTTGAGTATGAGAGCTGCAGAATGTGGAATACAACCTTATTCTCAGACTTGATTGATTTCAAAGGTTCAATCTGCAGATTCAATGATGTACATGTCATATGCAGTTGACTGATAGAAAGAAAATGATTCATACAATTCTATCAACTGATATGAGAAGAACATTTCATGCCTCTGATATAAAAGAATTAAATCTGCTTACACATCAATAAGTAAAGAGAATGATTCACAAGATCTCATCTGAAAGCATTCTGTATATCATACAGGACTCAGAAGCAGAGAAAACCAAGATAAAAGATATGTGAAAGAATAAGCATATGAAGAAGCTTCTGAAGAAGTATGAGAAGGTCTTCTGAACAGATCTTTCACTGAAATTGTCACTGGAACAAGGATTTGTACATGAGATTGACATGAAGAATGCAAAACCAGTCAATCAGAATGTGTATCTTCTGTTACAAATGCATCTTGAAGAACAGAAGTATCAGATTACAGATCTTCTAGAACATAGTCTTATACAACTCTTATCAAGTGTGTAGAGCTTTCCAGTTCTATTCATGAAAAAGGCAGATAAAGAGTGATGAATGTGTATCAATTATCAAGCACTTAATAAGCTTATAATCAAGAATGAATATTCACTGTCATAGATTCAACAACAGTTGAATACAGTCAGAAATACTTAATATCTATCAAAGATTGATCTTCTCTCAGAATACTGGCAGATCTGTGTAGATAAATTGTCAGTTCTGTGAACTGTGTTTAATATATAATAGAGAAAGTTTGAATTTCTAGCAATGTCATTTAGTCTGATAAATGCATCTGTCATCTTTCAAATGATGATGAATACAATTCTTCATAAACAGAATGAACTCTCATATCTTATATATCTCAATAATATTCTAGTCTTTTCAAACTTATATAATGAACATCTGAAGCATCTCAATGAACTGCTTACAACTCTGACAGAGTATAAGCTCTATATCAAATCAATCAAGTGTGTGTTTGAAATGAAAGAGTTGAAGTTTATAAGACATGTAGTAAATGATGACTGTATACATCTTATCTCAGAGAAATTGAATGTCATAGCAAATTAATCACAGCTGAGAAACATACATTATGTACAATAGTTTCTTGAGTTGATCTCATACTATCACAGATTCATCAAGGATTTCACATGAATATCTGCATCACTCTTAGATCTCTTAAGAGAAATAGATGCAAATCTGTGAAAGAAGAAGTTTTGTTCAATTATCTGAAATACTGCATGTGAAGAGGCTTTTCTTATACTGAGAAAATGTGTAACAACATTCTCAGTGCTTATTCAATCAGATTATAATAAATCTTTCTACATTGAGACAGATGCATCTGAATGAGCTATTGAAGACACTCTTCTACAGATGAGTAAGAACAGCAAGCTGCATCTGATGATGTATAATGATAGAAAACTATCAGATGCTGAGCTCAATTACTCAGTGTATGAAAAGAAATTGCTAGTAATCAAGCACATACTAGCATTGTGAGATAGATATATCAACAACAGATATATAACAACAGTGATCACAGATCATGAAAGCCTTGTCTATCTATAATTAATAATAAAATCTTTCAAACACTTAGCATGTTAGATCTCAGAGTTTCAAGTGTACAATCTTCATATCAAATACTGAAAGGAATTGAACACAGTGATATCTGATACAATCAGTCACAGACTTGATTTCATGAGTGAGAGTTCTGTGAATCAGGCACAAGAGATGTTTGTGTTAAATGCACTGAGAAGATGCAAGAAATCAGAATGAGTAAACACTATAATCTCTCACTTGAAGAATGACAAGATGTTAAATGATAAGCATCTCATAAGAGTAGTAGAAGAGATACTTCTGAACTTCAAGCTGAGAAAATTAAGAAAGAAAAATGATGTTATACTTTACTGTGATCTAGAATATGCAGAAGCTCTCTATCTAGAATCTTCATTTCAATGTGACTTAATGACTCACATGCATAAAGAATTCAGTCACTTAGAAAGCTCTGAACTCATGAGTGTACTCAAATCAAGAGTGTACTGGCTAAGCATGGCTGAGAACATTCAGATATATACTCACAAGTGCCTGAATTGCCAGGTCATGAAAGAATCTAAGAAAGGGTTAGAACATGAGAAAGTGCAACATCAGATGAAGTATATGATACAACTGTTTAAATGATGAAAGATGAATCTCATAGACATATTGTCACAAATGTCAAATGAAAATTGATGAATAATCACTGCTATTGATTACACTACTGACTGGTCAGTTGTAAAAGCAGTTTCAGAGATGACAGAGAAGATGATGATGAAGTTTCTACATGATGAGATCTATATCAACTATGAAATGCCGTGCAAGATTCTAACTGATAATGATGTGAATCTCATAGAAGAAGCAGTGAGGCATTTCATAGACCAGTTACAGACAAGATATTATAGAACAATGTCATATCATCTGTGAATGAACAGAAAGATGAAATGCTTGAATGGAATCTTGAGCAACATGCTGATGAAATATCTAGTGAGCAAGCCTACAAGATTATGAAATGAATATCTCAGACAGATGCTATTAGCCATGCAGATTTGACAGCATGCAGTCTTCAAGTATTCATCATTCTATCTGTTGTATGGATTGCATCCGCGCATTCTGAAGAATGCTTTGAAAAAGATAAAGAAGGAAGCAGTTATGAATGCAGCAGAAACAGCAGTTGCAGATGCAGCAGGAACAGCAGTTACAGATACAGTAGTAGCAGTTGCAGACACAATAGTCACAGACATGGAATCAAGATTGAAAGAGATCAGCCATGCATGTGCAAAAGCTAATAAGTTACTCCTGAACTGAGCAATTCAATCAAAAAGAATATGAGACTCACTTGTTAAGAAATCAAGTCTCAAGATGAGAACATGAGTTCTTGTATGCAATGAGAGTTCTGAGAAGTTTCAATCTAGGTGATTTGAGCTATATAAAATACTCAAATCACATTCTCTGAAAACATATATATTGAAAGAATCAGAGGAACAGATCTTACACAACTTAATCAATGATTCACAACTTATGAAAGTAAAGATGCAAGATCTGAGCAGATTATAATTATCTACAGCACTATCATCAGTGTTGAAAAAGAAAAAGCTTATAATTAAAAAGTCTTATAAAGTAAGAGAAATCATAGATGCTTATGAATCAGATGATCTCACTTATTCCAATCTTTTCATAATTATAAGAAAAGACTGAGAAGAAATGAAGAAATCAGGCAAACACCACACTTTAATAAGTGATGAGACTGTAGCTGATTGTATGATAACATGCTGCAGATAGTGAGTACAACACAGTAAAGAGCAGTCTCAAAGCAGCAGACTTGCACATGACTCAGATCACAGAAGAAAAAGGAATTCAGAGTTGAATTTAACTGTTTACATCAGTTCAATTACAGAGATCACAGAGAATGAACTATCTGAAACATCTGCAGATACATGAAATCAAGTCATCTCAATCTCTGAGAACACTCAGAGATCAGATGAGATTAGTTTCAATGAACTGTTTACTGTAGTGATCTGAGCAGGCAAAGAGAGACAGTATAATGCATGAGACAGAATCACAAAAGATGAAAGCTGCTGAATCTAGTCATCAAACACTGTATTATATAGAGATTATGTAAGAGTAGTGACTAGCAGATAAAGAAAAAGTGTAAGAAAAGAAATAATGAATTGATCATCAACTGTAAGAATCAGTTATAAAAGATAAATATTATCATACACATCTCATTCATTTTCATACATTACATGTTAATCTATTTTCAATGTCACATTATCTGAAAAATGCTAAAAATAAAGAAAATCTCAAAACTTGAGATCTGTAAGAGATTTGAGAGCTGTAAGTCACTCTCATAACAACACTGTGCATGTCTCTGATTTCTCTATCACTCTGTGTACAATATTAATGTCATTTATCACAAGATTGACTGGAATGTCAATATAGAAATGTGTACATGTATATGTAGAGAAATTGAAGAAGAGTGCAAGATCTGCAGAATCAGAAGTTAGAGCAGAGAGAGTGAAGACAGAAGAAATGAAAGAAGAAGGCACAGAACTGAATGAATAACAGAAGTCACTCAGAGCTGAACACTTATAATTCAGTGTACACACAACCTTCTCTGCAGAAGAGAAAGAGAAAGTGACAGAAGAAGCTTAAAAGCAGAAGAAGATAGTCTCAGCAGTGTTATCATCTTCAATCAGAATGATCTCTGACACTGAAGTAACTAAGAATCATTGTTAGTATACAAAAATTGCAAAATCAGAGATGAGAACAGTTACTGAACAAACACCTACTGGTCTTAGAGTTGTACACACAATTACAACACACACAAGACTTCTCAGAAAGAGAGAGAGAGACACAAGAGTATACAGGAAGCAGAACACAGTGTACAAACAGCTCATTCTCACAATGACATCTTAGACAAGGTGTATGAGTCTCACACTTATAGGTGTAAAAGAGTACAACATCTGTGTTCTCATTTCTGAAAACATGAATATTCTTCACCTGCATCATGAAGTCAGATAACAAACACTAGAGAATAGACTGATACAGATCAATCATTTCAAAGATATTTATCAGAGTGAATATACTCACAATATTGAATTTGACAGTTATGAAAAGTTTCTTGATATCTGTGAATGTCATGACTTTGTGCACAGTAAAATCTATAATAATTTTCTCTAAGAACAGAAAAATCAGTATCAGAAAGAAAAGATGAAAAGAAAAAGACTTATAATCTCAACACTGTTGAGTAGAGGGATAATTCTCTGATATAAATGAATAATTCTCTCATTATAAATATTTAAAATGAATGTAATAATCAGTATCTATAATCAAGCTTCAGATAGTTATATCATATACTATCTTCATACAATAAATTATTCTGAGAGTTGATAAGAAGAGTGAGAGTGTATACACTGAAAGAGATGATTCATTAAGTCTACACAACATCTCCTTGAAATGAGAAGAGCTGATAACAAAAGCAGAGATGATAAAACCAGAAGTAGCAGAAGTGAGAGTCGCGGGAACAGGGATAGTGAGAGAGGAACCAGACACAGAGACAGATGTAGAAGATTGAGAGAGAGTGATAGAGAAAGGAACAGAGAGAGCAGAGAGAGATGCAGAAGACTCAGTCACATATGACATGAATAATTCCTTCATTATTGTGTTCTTCAAGTTCTCAATCAATGATTCAACACTGGGTTCACTATCATAGACAGACACAGATCTGTCAATGTGTGAAAATTCTATGTGTATAAAAACAAACATATCAGCATCTGTATTCATGCAAAATTGTGTCAGAAAACATGATCAGAAACTCACTGAGAAGAAAATGATCAGAAGCATATAAGAAGATGAAGAAGATATGTCATCATTTATAATAATACATCATTCTGGCAATCATTAGAAGATAAACAAGTCCTGATCACATTTCACAATGTGTTACACTTACTGCTAATAAACTGCTCAGTATGAGCACTATGATGACACTTGTTGTGAAAATGAGAGGCCATTGTCAGAAATGCATACAATGTGATAAGTGAACAGATAGAAAGAGTTGAACAGAAGAAAGAATAGAAATCTTGAATGATTGTGACATTCAATGATGATGAAATGAAGAAGATGATTGAAGAATGAGAAAAGTTAGTGAATGAGTGATGTAATATAGTGAAAGTTTCTTTGTGAGAGTGTACACAGAATGCTAGCTGAATCAGAGATAGGTCACATGATTATGAAATGCTAGTAGCGAGCTAATCCGCATGAAGCTAGAGTGTATGACATGGTCATGTGAGTGTGACTGAATCTGATGAGGGAGAATGTGATTCAGAAGAACATATAACTGTTGAATAATAATGTAGCTGCTTCTGAACTACTAGTATACACAGCTGCTTCCGAACTACTAGTGTATGTGTACGAGTGTAAAGGGGCCATAGCGGCCGCTAATTAAATTAGCGTACAATATTACAATATATAAGAAGCCGGCGTACGCCTGTAATCGTACGCTGGCTTAAGCAACCTTTGAATCACATATTTTTTATCAGTTTTTCTCTCAAAAACTGTCATATCATCTGACTTACTATCAATTGATATCATACTTTTCCTCACTGTATCTCAAGAAAGAGATTGTAAAGATTTTATTGATTTATCTTAAAAATCAATTTTAGTTTATTAGATTCTCTTCAAAAATCTAACCTAGTTACTGAACTAGTGTGAAAAAAATCAGGTGTTTTATACACAAAAGTCTGCTATCCTTCTTTTGAAATAGTCTGACCAACTTTTCAATTGAAAACAGACTTAGAAATCTCTTAATTGAAACAGTCTGACCAACTTTTCAATTCAAAAGAGTTTAATAAATATCTCAATTGAATTAGTCTGATCAACTTTTCATTGAGTAAGAACAATGAGTTCAAAAGTACACTCAGTTGATGTGGAAAAAGATGCTTTCTCAAATACTATTCCTGAGATTGAAATTCTGAAGAGAAGAAAGAAAGAAGAAATAGAGAAACAACAAGTTCTTGAAATACAGGAACTTGAAAAAGTAAGTAAAATTCTTGGAAAGCAGTGTCTGAGTGAGATAAATGAAGAAGTTCTGTTAATTCTTCATGCTCAGGCTAGACAACTACAGGAAGTGATCAAGTTCAAACTTGGAATTTCAAACACAGTTCAAAAAACTTTGAAAATTTCTAATACAATCACTGACTCTTCAGTTTGCTCTGCTTTCTTTTCTACTTCTTCTTCTTCTTCTTCTTTAAATCAGAAGAAAATATATGCTCAAGCAGCTGAATCTGCTGTCTCTAAACCTGCTGTCTCTAAATCTGCTATCTCAAAACCTGCTCAAAATTCTGAGAAAACTGAGAAGAATACTGCTCATACTTCTAGTGATAGAAGAGTGGAGAAAAAAATGCAAAAAGAGAAAAATCTTCAAATCTTCAGAGATAGAAGACTTATTCTCAAAGTCTCAAATCAGGACATATTGCAGAGAAATAAGCTAAGCTCAAACCTCATTTTCAGAATTAGAAATGAAATCAATCAGCAGTTCTTTTCTCAGTTAATAACTGATATTGAAGTTCAAAAATCAGTTATAGCTTCAATTGAGTCATTCTTCTTTGAAAACTTCATTATTCTGACTACAATGCCTGAATTCAGTGCTGAATTCCTTATTCAGAATGAGAATCTCTGAAAATCAGCAGTAGAATCTTTGTTAAACACAATAATTCTTTCTGAGAGAGATGAAAAGTGAGACAAATTCATTCTTCATAATATTTCAGTTGAAATTTTTGACTGTGAAGAAGGAATGCTACTTCTCAAAAATGAATTAGAAGAATACAACTCTATTCAACTGAGAAAGGAGCCTGTATGACTAAATTCAATTGAGTTCAGACAAAGTAGAAGAAATGCCTCTGTTCTAGTATATACAAAGACAATGAAACAGTCAAAGATCTCTGAAGTAAGAGTAGCAGATTTGAAAATGAGAGTTCATGAATACAAAGACTCAAGAATGAATCTCAAAGCTCAAACACAGTGTTCAAACTGTCAAAGATATGAACACTTTGCAATCTCCTGTTTCAGAGACTCAAAATGTGCATTCTGTGCCAGAGATCACAAAACTAGTGAGCATAAATGTGAAACATGCTCAAAAAGAGATGAAATATGTCAACATACTCTGCTTAAATGCTCTAATTGAAAAGAAAAACATGCATCTAGCTCAAAAGAATGTATGTTTGCTTCAAGAACTCAAAAGAACTGAAGAAAAGATGAAGCTCAGAGTAAACCTAGAACTGAAGAGAATAGTCAAGCCAGTAAACTCACAACTGCAAGCTTAAAAAGAAGAAACTCTCAATTATCTAAGTCTTCAAACTCCAATTCTTCAGTGAAATGTAAACAGAATTTGAATTCTCAAACTTCTGTTAAGATTAGAGAATTGAGAAATGACTCTGATGATAAACTAGATATAATGCAAGCAGTTGAAATTCCTACTTTTCAGAACAGTTATAATCTACTATCTGATGATAGTGATTAGATTCTACTCTACTCTCTTTTAGTATGAATATACAATAAAAACAACAAAAAAAGTTTAAAAACTCTTCAAAAATCACATTTATTCAAAATAATGTGAATAGAAACTCAAATTGCATTTATTCTTATCTTCAAATTGCATTTGAATAAAAAGTTGATTTTATACTGCTTCAGGAGCCGAATTTTGATGCTGAGTAAAAATATGTCATTTCTCACTCAAGCTACTACTGCTTTTTACCTCAAAAGTCTGAGATAAAGTCAAGAGTAGTAATCTATGGAAGAAAGAGATCAAGATATCAATTTAATCTAAGATTTGATATCATGTCTGACCCTGATATTCTGGTGAGTGACATTATAGATAAAGAAAATGAGTTTGATACTATACAGCTCATAAATATCTATAATGAAAAGTCATTGAAGAAATATAACAATATCTGGACAATTGATAGAGGATTTCTGAACATAACTTCATCAAGAAACTCTATAATTGTAGAAGACTTCAATGCACATCATCTCTGATAAAATTCAGAATGTAAGAGAGCAGTATGAGCTGATAATCTGATTGAATGAATCTTTGAGCATTCAATAGATTTGATTAATAAGTCTGATCAATAAACATTCTTTAGAAAAGGCATGAAACAGAAGTCTATTATAGATCTAACCTTCATGTCACAAAATCTAATGAAAAGAAGACTTGTAAACTGGTTTATTGATTCAAATGAGACATCAGGATCAGATCATGAGATTATTCAATTTGATATTGAACTGAGTGAAAAATAAATGAGTGAAAATCCTCTTCTCTCTAATTAGTATAACTTTGAAAAAGCTGATTGAAAAGCAGTTGAAGAAAGCATAAAACTATTAAAATCTGAGAGACAGAATGAGCTATATTGGAATTCTGATCAAGATATCTCAAATGAAATGCTTGAGAATAGAGTGAAGCTTATTACATCTATTATTCTAACAAGTGTTAGAGATAATATTTCAAAGAGAAAATCTTCTGAGTATTCAAAACCTTGATGAAATGAGAATATCTCATTCAAGAGAAAAGAATTAGCTACTGCTAGAAGAGATTGAAAGAATAATGTAATATCTGATGAAGAGTTCAAAGCTGTCAGAAATGAATATTTTTCAGATATTAAAAGAGCTAAAACAGACTGCTGGAATAAATTTCTTGAAGAAGCACAAGGAAAGGAAGTTTTTAAAGCTTTTAACTATACTAAAACAAGAAGTGTAGCAAAACTTCCAGCCTTAGAATATGAGTTTCAGAATAAATCATATACAGCAAACTCTTTTGAGGAAAAATGTCAAGCTTTCATGAGAATTCTCTTTCAGAACTCATCAGATTCAGATTCAGATTCAGATTCAGATTCAGAGAAGGAGAATATATCACTTCTCAACTACATTGATGAAAATGACTGAGAATGACCTGATCTTACACAAGATGAATTAGAGTCAGCTATCTTCTCAAGTTCTGTTAAAACTGCTGCAGGTCCTGATTCAATTAATCACTTCATTATTCAGAATACATATTCCTACTTAAAGAATGAATATTTTGAGCTCTTTTTCAATCTCTTGAAAAATGAATATCATTCTGAATGATGGAGAGAAGCCACTGAAGTGATTCTTGCAAAACCTAATAGAAAAACTTCAATTTCTAAGTCATATAGAGTAATATCTCTATTGAACTGTCTAGAAAAGGTTTTAGAAAAGATAATAGCTACTTGACTATCTTTTATAAGCTCTATAGATGATTCTCTTTTATTCAGTGAATAAATGAGAGATAGAAAACAGTGTTCTGCAATTGACACTGTTCTCTCAGTTGTTCATGATATTCAAATAGCAAAGTATGAGGGTCTGGTCTCAACTGCAGTTTTTATTGATATAAAAGAAGCATTTGATCATGTTTCAAAGTCAAAGTTAGTTCAGACATTGAAGATATTAAAACTGTCACTTTCTCTAATAAAATGAGTTAACTGTTTTATGTCTAGAAGAAGTATACAACTCTTCTTTGATAGAATGAAATAAGACAAGACTGAGATAAAAATAGAAGTATCACAGAGATCTTCAATCTCACTCATTTTATTTGCAATATACACTGCATATCTATTTAAAAATAGAAATATGAGAATAGTGCAATCTCTGAGTTATGTGGATGATATTGGTCTAGTCTACAGCTCAAAAACTATCAAAGAGAATTTGAAAGTAATTGAAGAAGCTGCAAAGGAAATCTTTGTTAGAGCAGATATCAATCAAATTCAATTTGATATGAATAAAACTGAGTTAATTGATTTCTTTTCTAGATTCAATGAGAAAGAACTATCTCTAACTCTTTTAAATAGAGAGATAAAACCCAGTGTAAATGTCAAATGATTAGAAGTATGATTAAACTCCAAGTTGAATTTTAAATATCACATTCAACAAAGAACTGTCAAGGCAGAAAGACTATTGAATAACATAATCAGACTATCAAACACAGAGAGAGGTCTATTCTTCCAGACTATGAGACAGTTATATATAGCCTGTATTACATCAGTAGCTGATTATGAAGTTCAAGTTTGATGGAATAATCAAGGGAATTTCACTGAACTCTTTCAAAGTCTGTAAAACAGAGCCTTGAGAAGAATTCTGAAAGCATTCAAATCATCTTCTATTAAAGCAATGGAAATTGAAGCTTCAATTCCTTCTCATGCTATTAGATTTGAAAAGGCCTGTATGAACTATGCTCTGAGAGTTGTAAAGATGAGCTCAAATCATATAATCAGAGAAAGAGTCTCTTCTTCATTTTCATCAATTAACTCTGGAAATGAACTGGATTGGAATAGATTTCTTGATTGAAATGAAAATAATTCTTCAAAGAAAATGCCTTCTCAACTGTACAGACTATGCTCTCTGATTAAAAATCAATTTTCTTCTTTAAATGTTGAAAAAGTTGATCATGAGAAGTTATCTCTCTGAAGAGAAAAGCTTGAATCTCTTATAGATGTACAAATAAGTGAACTATCAAAAGAGAAAGAATATGAACAGCATTCAAAGAGAATTTCTACAATTAATATAAAAGACTCTATTCTGATTTATTCAGATGACTCAAAAAATGAGAACTTGAATAGATTAGATGCAGGCATTGCTTATACTGAAGATAATATTAATTTTATCTCAGATTTCTGAAATATAGACTCTGAATGTGAAGTCTTTGATGCTGAACTATTTGCAATAGTGAAAGCTTTCAAACTCATTGAAATAAAATCTCATAGAAGAGGAAATTATTTGAAAGAGGCATGAATATTCTCTGATAGTCAAGCTGCTTTAAAAAGACTTAGAAATAGTCAGATTTATAATGATCAAATGAATTTTGAACTGATCTTAAACTCTGTTTTGAAAATTCAAAAGAGAAGAACATCAAAGCTGATTATTCATCTGCACTGAGTTCCTGCTCATATGAATATTCATGGCAATGAATTGGCTGATTCAGCTGCAAAAAAGGGTGCAGAATTAAGCAGATCTATTCAAAAAATTGTGTCCTGATCTTTTATAAAGAGAAAAATAAAAGAATCTTGTTTACACAAGTGAAATGAAAGCTGGCAGAAACAAAAGAAGAGTATACATTATTCAAGATTTGAAATAAAGCCCAAGTGAAAATCTTGTTCAATTAAATGTAAAAAGAAAATATTCTCATCTATAATATAGCTGAAACTAGAACATGGCTATTTCAAATCTTATATAAAAAGATTTGATGATAGATTTGACTCAATAGAATGCTCATTCTGTAATACAAATGAAAAATCCTGAGTATATTGTAATGCACTGTGCATTATACAATAGTCTCAGAGCCAGATTGAAAGAGAAGTATGATCTAAATCAATTAAATATTAGATTCTTATTCTCAACTGAGACAGAAATTAAATACTTAATAGACTTTCTATCAGAAACTCAAGCAGCTACAAGAAAATGGCTAAATTCAGAATTATCTGAATATGAAGAGAAGGAAATCAATCAGATATAGTCTGTTAAAACAGCTATATACTATCTTTTAATAATTTGTTTTGTTACAGTCTTTCTTTATTTTATCTTTTTCTTTCAATTTCTTTCTGTCTATCTATTTAATGTGTCTATCTTTAAGACTGTGTTCTCTTTTCCTTTGTCATGATATTGTTAAATGGTTTC